CACCCCTAAAGACTTGAAAATTTTGAAAAAAATCCTTTAAAGGGTCGTTTGAAGCTATCGACTTTTTGTATTTCTCAGACGACTTCTCCACGCAATTAAAAAAATCATTAGATCTGTAACTTCTTCGAAACTACTCCTATACAGTCACCCCTAAGACTTAGAAATCCTTCAAAGGATTTTTCTCTGAATTTCTGAATCTTAGAGGTGACCGTAGCAGTAACTCCAGGGAAGTTACGGGTCTGATGATTTTTTAAATCATGTAAAAACATTGTCCGCGGAATATAAAAAAACTGCAACCTCAAACGACTCTTTTAAGAATTTTTTACAGATTTCTAAGTCTCAAAGGTGACAGATTGTAGAAGTAGTTCCGGTATTCTAAGGAGCTGATATATTATTTTTAGGGCTATTTATCTCTATTTGAAGCTGGAAAAATATTTCCAGTTTCAAATGAAAAAAAAAAAAATTTTATGATTTTTGTTTATAAAAAAATGTTCGGAACTTCAGGGATATATTCATTTAAGATTTAGTCATAATATTATCACCTAAGGAGTCGAGTAAAGCTCAAAAATGACATTGGCTCAAAAGTTTATATATATACGATATAATCATACATATTTAGAGTTTATCAATAACAATATAAAAACTGTAAGAAAATACATTATTTTTACTTGAAAAGACTGTTAATAAAAGTTTTAAGAGTGTTGAAACATTAATATTCTGATTATTATATTTTAAAATCTCTATGTATTTCTATATTTATATTAAAGTAAGCGCAGAAAAATCTTAAGAAACATTTCTGAAATTAATATGCATTCGAGTTTTTTATTTCATTCGCTATGTTCGAGTGAGTTTCATCATCTTTATAACAACATATTTGAAGCAACAACATAGAAATGAATTAAGTGTAAGTTAATTGATTATTAGAATTTTCATTACTGTTTTGTATACGCACTGAAAAATAGTAATTTATGTCATATGGCCGCAAAGTGGCGATTTTCTGACAACGACGATGTTGCGATATGAGCTTAAGGTTCGTGGCGGGAATGTACGAAAACGGGCGTAATTTTAACGTCCGAGGCGAAGCCGAGGACGGAAATTTACGCTCGTTTTTGTAAATTCGCGTCACAAACTTTAAAGCGAATATCGTAAACTCGTCGTTGTCAAAATCACCACTTAGTGGCCAAATGACATACAATATTTTTTGTTGTTATCGCTCCATAAATTTAACTTTTGAGGGATAGGAGGCAAATAATGACATTCAAATTTTATGAAGTTTCATAAGAGCAAAAAAACTTAATTTTATATTAATTATCTTTTTTTTTTAATATTTATTTATAACGCGTTTGTTATTTTATTAACATTAGGTCCGCTTCGTAATAAACTGTCAGCAGAGGAAGAATTAGCGCCACTCAATAGTAACTAAGTTTGAAATTTACTCAAAATCCATCGGTCGGTACACTAGAATTTGATTTATTTTGTTCTAAATTTCATCCGATTGCACAAGAACAGTACGGAAAAGAAGGGGAAAGTAAACTTTGCGGCCTAGGCTGCGGAAAAAAGGCGGTATGGTAGAGTCTCTAGACATGAGTATCTTTTCGGACGCCACCCAGCGCTTAAAAGTTGAACTTTTGGAGCGAGTATAACAAAAAAAAGTTTTCTGCTCCGTATGATACGAGATCGCTACTGTCACGATCTACTCTTTACTATCTAGAGGAGAGTGAGGTTAGGAAAACTGTATACTAACGGTAGCAATACGTTTCGTGAATGGTGTGAATGGCACCGAATAGATCGTGACGGTAACGATTCAGACTGCTACTCGTAGCCTCAACGGATCTTACCGGTGACGATTCACTTTTACGATACAGTAGATCGTGCCGAGCAGAAAACTTTTTTTTCAGTGCGGGGAAGAAATCTACTACCATTTCGGCTGCCGAATGGTCTTTTTACTTAAATTGTATTTGTATAAAATTGTTTATAGACAATAGAATTGTAACTAAATAAGGGATTGCGAAACGTTCCACTATTGCTGTGATTTTTACGGCATTTTTTGAAGAAAATTTTTCTTTCGCATACTGACCGAAATTTTGTATGAGATAATTTACAGTCTTGCACAATTTGACGTCTCAAAATGAATATATTTTATACTTTATATGATTCAACTTTTGATTTCAAAATCTTGTGAAAGCAATCTTTTTTTATTTTATTTGCAATCAATTTCATAATAAAAACGGCATCGTTCAAGGTTTACAAAAACTTGACATTTTGATTAATGACATAAAAAAAAAGAAAAAACTTTACTGCAATTAGCAGCTATCTGATCATTTTTTCATGAGATAAAAAATTACTGTTAAGAAATAAAAAAAAAAAACTATCGATAGTTTTTAAAAATTTCTACCAGTAGATTTTTTTTTAAATTTTCGCAATAATTTACTCGTTAAAGAAATTCTAATTCTTATCGAATTTTTGTTAATTTTTCCTTTTTTTCATCAGAAATTTCAGTATTCAAATATATATACACGGTTCTAAAACATTTTTACTTGAGTAGTTGTATATTCATACCTTATCATAAGAAGCTTCTATTTTAAGGTTATTAGTACGATAATATAAGACGCAATATTCTATTCGAATAGCGTTAGTGATTAATTATTGAAAATAATTTAATATAAAAATACCTTCACTTTTTCTTTGTGTTCATGCATTTGTGTGGAAGCAGGATCTCGATCCATTTTTTAACTCAGTGCAAGTTCAGTCACATTTATTTTAAAGTGGCAACTAAATACTTGGAAAGATAACACACAAATAACGATGATACAGCCTCACGATGGTAGACTACACCGACTACACTGACTGGCACGTCCCGACATCAACTTCAAGGTTTTATGCGTTCTGTCCGGTTCAGTGCAGTGGGGGAAAGTAAATATTATATGATTCGAAAAAGTAAGAAGTAACTCATATGTTTATGTACGTAATGAAAGACAGTGCATTTTTCGATGAAAACAACCACATGTATCTATTTCAGCTTCAGCAATGTTAGTTAAGAGAAATCTTATCTGTAAATCAATCGCAATTGTAACACTGTTTACTCATGATTGATTTTATCATTAATAGCATGCACTCAAGTTATCTGATTGACGCATTTGACAATCGTTTGCAATGACTTCCTGGAAAAATTGTGTATCTTCACAGATCTGACTGACTATTTTTTTTAATTTTATTTTATTACTTTTTTTTTTTTATAGAACTAGGTCGATCTGATTATATCTCGGGTTATTTTATGAAATGAAATAATTTTTATGGAGCGAACCAATCTGATCTTTTTTAAAATGAAAAGTCTGATGGGAAAAAATATTTTTGAGCTACATATAAACATTACCAAAAAAGTTAACGTAAGTACTCGGAAGAGTTAATGTTAAGACGTTTTGGAGTAATGATTTTTTTAATTATGACAGATTTTAATTTGTTTTTATTTCTAATAATATTTTACGAACAGGAATAAATATTAATGAAAATGAAATTAATGCAACATTTTGTGTAAAAAATTTTGTCAATAATCGAAAACTGAAAAAAAAAATTACTGCAAAAATCATTTTTTAGACCTTGTGCTGAATCAATTTAAAAATATTTTTTCTGAATTCAAAGAACTTTTAGTACGACATTAAATTATTTTTTCACATTACTATACATTTTTTTTCTAAAATATAATTTCCTTCTGTGTATGTCAACCTGTGAAATTCAAAGTTTGCAATATGAATTCTTCTAAATTTAAACATCGATTTGATTGAATATTTTTATATAAGTAATAATAGCTGAAAAATTTATATTTGAGATAAATCAATTGTGTTTTGAATATATGTATGAATAATTTTAAATTCAAATATGACATTAAAGTTAGCAGTCACTTAACTATTTTTTAATTTTTCTTAACAAATAAATTTAATCCAAAAAATTATTTTTAAAAAATTGGATTTTCAATTTTTTAAAATTTCTACGTCAATTTTTTTTTCTAATTTTTTTTGCCATAATTTATTCTATTTCTATTTGTTTCTAGTGTATAGGTTTTTTTTTATGCCCCTTTACAGCCCAAGCCTTTCTCAACATTAATGATTTTGCTTGGTTACTGCTCTTTATATTTGCGGCTGTGGCTCGACTTGTGCTTTCTGTACCGTATTCACCCTGAACCTCACCTTCTCAGGCTGTTGGAACAGAATCATGGGGAAACCACAGAGAAAACCCATGATAGTAGAGTCGGAGCTGGGCTAAGTCGATACAGTGATTGATAAAGAACTCTTCTTTATCGACCACTGGAGCATTAGGCCCTTCTCCTAGTGAGCAGAGATCCCTCGTGCTAGCCAACACTGACTAGAGTGGTCACCCAATTAAGTTGTAGCTTAACTGGGTGGTCGCCCAAGTCAGACGTGTGCCGCCCGGCTATCTCTGCCACTTCCAGAGGCTGGCAATGTAACGCACATATTTTTAATTATAATCACTGAAAAATATTGGTGCGTGCCGGGATCAAACCCGGGTCCCACTTTTTTGAAAAGCGGGCACCGAGCCGACTAGGCTATTGCCTGCCTTTTTGCCATAATTTATTTGTTACAAAAATTTTTAAAATTATCAAATATCTGTTAAATTAATTTTCATACTCAAATCCATTCTTTTAACAAAATTTAAAAATATTGAATAATTTATTTTTCAAAAATTATGTTATCCAAATTCGTAAAACAAACGTTCGACAAAAATAAAATAGGGAGTGTATTTGAAATTTAAATAAGATACATAAAATTCTTCATAGATGCCAGTCAATGTAATGTGCAAAATATTTATTCTGTTCGGTGACCAGTTGTGACATCTTGATATCAATTTTTGTTTTGTGTTTGTTAAGTTACATTTTAACTTCAGTTGACATATAACCAAATAATAATTTATCAACCAATCAATTAAAATTATTATAGAGACAAGATTGAAGGATTGATATAATTTTTTGACCAATTTTTTTATACATGAACTATAATTTCTTGCGAACTGAAATAGTGACTAAATCTCTATCCGTCAATGTCACTATAAAACTATCAGCAGAATTTCAACCTCTGTATTTTGAATACACAAGACGTAAAAAGTGTGAATTAACAATCCTTCACCTCGCGATTTGTTTAGATGACGAACCATTTGTTGATTACCTTCTCATGAATAATGCTGATGTCAGGTTAAGTACTGAAAACGTGGGACCAGTGATATATACAGCGATAAGGCTTCGAAAATTAAAATACGTACACAAGCTAGTTGATTATGCAGGAGCCGAAGTTAATAAACGAATAGAATTAATTGATCTATATTATGATCGAACAATTAAAAGATGTTTTGACGCAGACTCAGATTATGATGATATAAGTGACGATATAATGTATTATGATGATTATACGCCACTTGAGTATGCAGTTCTCAAATGCTTACGAAATTGCCGAGTTCCTTATCAGTCGGGGTGCTGAGGTTAATTATGAGTTTTTATGGGACGGTCCATCACCACTGAGTATAGCCGCTGGCTCGAATAACCTTAAAATGATGAAATTACTAATGAAATATGGCGCTGATATTAATTTTGTTGATGAATCTGGCTACCATGATCCACCTTTGTTCAGCGCTATCACAAATTTTCAAAATTTTGAAGCTGTTAAATTCTTAATAAGTCAACCAACGATCAGAATTAACTACCAAGATGAAGACCAAAGCTTATGTCTCCACATATTATTAAAATCAGAAGATCTCGATGGTATTTTTACTACTCACGATACCATTCTTGAAAGTCTTCTCGATGCCGGTATCGACGTTAACCTCAAGAACGGTGATGAACAATTAGCCATTGAGATGGAAACTGAAGAAAATCGGGTTTATATAATTAAAATAAAGCAGCATATTGTAAAATTGATGACTGTTAATTTTTACGTGAGTGCAAAAAACGCAAACGCTGTGTCTGGGACGGAGTTTCAGCAGTTGCGTGTTCAATGTGCTAAACAAGTTGAGATTTTGAAAATAACTTCTGGACCGATATCTGGATTTTCTTATTACGATTTGTTACATAAATGTCAGCATAAATTGACGCTCAGGTTTAAAGATGGTGATGGTGATAAATTTGATGAAGAGATGAGACGTAAATTCGATTTATACGAGGGAATGATTGCCCATCGTTTGGAAAAAGCTAGCCAACGTCGAGAATTGTTTATCAAAGTTGAAAATGTTTTGTATGAAATTTTCAATAGAAAGCTACCTGCTACATTTATCCATGACATGTTTTTCTATTTGAGTAACGATGAGTTGTTTAAATTATCCAAAAATAATTAAATTTGTTAACAGTAAAATGATATTAAAAAATTTTTAAAGTTTATATGTGTTGGAATGTGTTTTAAGCTTTATGACGTGTTACGTTCCCAAATTTTGGGTGTATTAATTAAAATTATTTAAGTTCAAATTTTGACCTCATTAGGATGTCAATAGACTCCAGGTGGGTCGTGTCAATGATTGATCCGCGAAGTACTTTTAACGATATAAATTTTGAAATATAACTTTAAATTAACCTGCCTCTGGTAGGTGATTTGGAATGCCAAAACGCTGACTAGCGCTTCGGCGATTTCATCAGGGTGAAAAACAGCTAATAAAAGCGCTTACACCCTGGGGGATAAGGTTTTAATAATGATTCATATTAATTGATTGACAATTAATAAAATTTATTTAAAGGAAATAGGCAGGTTCAGCCTCGGACCAGCAGAGATTGCTCCTCTGCTAAGTCCGAGGACTGACTGCTCCAGAAGAAGTCTGAAGACAGAATGTATTTGAAATAATAATTACAAAGAGTTTTATAATGAATTTTAGCAACGCTGCATCTCAGGTTACCCTATGTGAACATCAACGCAGTCCAAAACCCACAACGTAGACTGTTTAGTCTACTGGGCTGCGTTGACGTTCTAGAAATTTGTTATCTCGAGGTATTTCCGTTACGAGATACCTCGAGTAACGATTAATTTATTAATTTTTAAAATTAATTCATAAAATTTTTAATAAATTTAAAATTTCCCAGAACGTAACAGATGTTTTCATAAATGTCTGTTATCATTTTGTGAAAATGTATAAAGATGTTTCTGTTATACGAATAATTACTTTTCTTTCACTGTTCGTTTCTTTAATTTAATTATGTTCTTCATAACTTAATATTTTATTTAATTTGTTAAAGTATTAATTGTAAAAAGTTTTTACTAAAAACGAATAAAAAAGTTTCGTTGTAAACATATAGGTAATAAAAAAGACTATGAAGATTAATTATTGATTGAATGAGTAAGTAGAAAGTAGTTAGTTATGAGTTTTATTTGTATCACATTTATGCGTTTTACAAAAATACTATAAATATTAAATATTACAGATTACATACATTAATATTTTTCTTACAGAGTAAGTAGAAAGTATCCTAGGTTACCCTAACTTTATAAACAGGTGCGGGTAACACAGTTGAGTGCCGACCGGGCGTGTCCCCGGGTGGCGGATAGGGGGGCCGTGGATTTGGATGGAGAATCCTGGACTTCTCACCACGGGAGACAGGGGCCTCTGCTCAGATCCCGGCCTGCAGAGGCATCAGAAATCCAACCGGAGTAGAACCTGGTTTAGGATGACTGGGGCCCTGCCGCGGACCAACTCCCCAAGCTAAGGTGGAAGCAATCGTGCCGATGGCTGAATGGTACTAGGGTTATAGTGCCGCGAACGATGCCCTTGGGGTACCAGGTGCAACCCCATTGTACTGATGCGCCTTCCGACGGTATTCAGGCTCTGCCGACGGTGACTTTTATTTCCTGACTACTCGTGGGGCCAAAAATGGAGAACCCAACTACAACACCCAACGGACCGAAGGACCTTAAATGACCCCGGTCTTTCCATGAAAATGGACATTGAGGAGGAGGCGCAGGGCTCAGCGAATGCCGGGCACAGTGACTCTTCTAAACGAGATGGGAAGAAGAAGAACCGCAGTGGTGCGACAAAGAGACGGGTCCTTAAAGCCAGACTGGCGGAGAGGGCTCAGACTTTGGAGCAGGACTGCGGAGCTACTCCTCCCACTATCTCTAAAGACAAGATGGCGGGGGAGTCCAAAGGAAATGGCGGTAAAAGGCCAAGACCCGAGGGCAACACCCCACCGGAAGTCAAAAGCAAAGCCAAAAAGGGCAAAATAACCCACAAACCGAGTGGATTCAGCGACGCGGTACGGACGGGCATGAAGATGGCAATAACGCCTTCTGGCTACCCTGACGTGTTGCTGAGCCAGGAGACCAGCGACCTGGTAACGCAGGCACTCGTCGAGGCACTGGACGCTACCCCCATGGAGCAATTTTTGTTGGAACGCTTCACGTAATAATTATCCGTAACTCCTATTCTTTCCCGCTTCACAGCATTATTTATATTTGTTAAAAATGCTAACCGTAAGATGGACGGTGTGGCTTAATGTATATAGAATAAGTGAAAGGAAATTTAGTATAGACCGGATAGCTCAAATGGTAGAGTAGCCGACATGTCTTCGGAAGGTTCTGGGTTCGTATCCCAGTCCGAGCTATCTAATAATTTTTTCTCGCATATTCTATACACTCACATTAAGATGATCCTCTCAACAATCCTTTCTCAATCCTTTCCTAACAATTATCCTGTTACGTGAA